ACGTCTGTTATTCGCATGGGAATGTTTCGGATTCGGGTTGATTTATTCCCTCAGGCTCTTAAACAACCGTGGGTTGGTTCTCTGACCGCCGCTGCTGCCGGTCCCCGCTGCCGTTCCTACTGATGCCTGATCCCGCCGCTGCTGTTCCTGCTGCCGCTCCTGCTGCCGCTCCTGCTGCTGCCTGTTCCTGCTGCCGCTCCTGCTGCTGTCTGTCCCTGCTGCTGCTCCTGCTGCTCCTACTACTACATGTGCCGCTGCCGTTCTGCAGGCTTCCAGGCTGCACCCGTCTCTGTGGCTCGGCTCTTTCAGACACGTACGTAACCTGGCTCACGGAGACAAGCGGCGCACGCTGGCGTGACACGTCTGTCTGTTCGTATGAATCGCTTCGTGGTGCTGCTGCTCCTGCTAATACTGCTTCTGCTGCTTCATACTGTTACCGCTACTGCTGCTACTGCTGCCGCTGCTGCTTCATTCTGCTACTACTGCCGTGCTGCTGCTGCTTCATGTACTTCGTCATCTCTCTTCACTTCGCTTCTCTTACTGAAACACTAAACAGCTACAACATATTCTACTGCCGTGGCTTTGATACAGGGTTTTGCCGTTATTATCTACGGACGCTGCAGCTGCTGCTGCCGCGGCTGATACAGGTCGTTGCCGTTATTATCTGAGGTCACTGCTGCTGCCGCTGCTGCTACTGCTACTGCTGCAACCCACCCTCTCAGAAGCTTATCCTGCTTCTAATGGATGCAGCCCGGCCGAGTATGCCGCGCGGCACTGGACTCGCTCCCAGGGTCACTTCGGCGGTCGTGCTTCATCTCTCTACTTAATCTTCTGATTCTATCAGATGCAGCTGGCCGAGTAGCTGCGCTGAGCCGTCAATCGGACTCCTAATCAAGGGCATCCATACCGTGTTCTTCACTCTTCTGATCGCAGGCTCCCAATCATGCTGCCCATCCTGCAGCGGCACTGAACTCCGGCTCATCTTCCAGGTACATGTCTGCCCTCCTCGCAGCATCTTCCTGCTCGCCTTCCATGGCTTCTCTGCATAAGCGTTTCACTACTGCACACTCAACCTTCGTGCGGTCCGAGACACGGCTTTTCCCGACCATCCTGCCATCCTGATTATCTACTCTCCAACCCAAGATTCTAAGCGTAAGGGCGCCTGCAACTTCATGGCCCTCTCCGATATGTCTCTGCCCCTCCAGGTCTCAGCTTCTACACGGACGTGCCCCTTCCGTGGGTTTTGGGGGGTTTTTTTTTTTTTTTTTTTTTTTTTTTTTCCAGGACCATCGCGGCCTCGCTGGGGCTCCCCCACACCTCTCCGCAACAGCTGGGGCGCCGGTCCTCTGCGGCTTTCTCCGCCTACATCAGGCCAGACGCGTCCGCTATCCTGCCTGCACAACGTCAACTGGCTTCCTCGTAAGCTCCCAGCAAAGCAATACGAAGCAAAGTAAGTGAACCAATAAGATTCTGGTGGCGGCACGCACTTCTCTCAAACACTCTCCGCTGCCGCAGCGTCTGACGGAACGTGATGCGAGCGCTCACGTTCCCAGCGCGCAAAGACAACCCTGCCGCAGCGTCTGGTTGATCGTGATGCGAGCGCTCACGTCCCAGCGCTCAAAGATAACCCTGCCGCAGCGTCCGGTTGATCGTGATGCGAGCGCTCACGTCCCGGCACTCAAAGATAACCGCATATAACGGTCACAGCACATAGTGATAGCGGTCATAGCGTTAGTGATAGCGGTCATAGCGTTAGTGATAGCGGTCATAGCGTCAGTGATAGCGGTCATAGCGTCAGTGATAGCGGTCATAGCGTCAGTGGTAGCGGTCATAGCGTTAGTGTTAGCGGTCACAGCATAGCAAAAAATGGTTAGCGCATAAACGGTTCACAGCATAGAGATAGCGGTCACAGCATAGCGATAGCGGTCACAGCATAGCGATAGCGGTCACAGCATAGCGATAGCGGTCACAGCATAGCGATAGCGGTCACAGCATAGCGATAGCGGTCACAGCATAGCGATAGCGGTCACAGCATAGCGATAGCGGTCACAGCATAGAGTAGCCACGACGTCTGTTCCCTGCAAACCAGGCTGCAAAACTCCATCAACACACTCAGCCTTTTTGGGGATTGTACGCGCTCCATCGCAGGAGCCTCTCCGATCTGAAGGCCGCACCGGGGCCTAGGGCGCCAAACCACCTCAATAAATACTCAAAACCATTTTCGTTTCTCGTCTCTCCAAATTGAAATGTAGCTCGCGAAAATTCAATTTGGTAGACGTCAGCCATAAGCTACCCCCTCCAGGCCGGTTCGCTTCCCCAGCCTATCGCTCGGCAAACGCCCCCTTCCAATCATCCGTGCCGGACAGGCAGCCGCTTAAAAGCGGAGCAACTCCCACTTTCTGCCTTCTCGAAGCCTCGCAACCACCGCCTCCCCTCCTCCTCCTCTTCACCCTGCCTCCAATCTGCCTCCAATCTGCCTCCAATCTGCCTCCAATCTGCCTCCAATCTGCCTCCAATCTGCCAAAATGCCGCCACCAGTGCCTAGGTCCCGGGGGATTGTACGCGCTCCATCGCAGGAGCCTCTCCGATCTGAAGGCCGCACCGGGGCCTAGGGCGCCAAACCACCTCAATAAATACTCAAAACCATTTTCGTTTCTCGTCTCTCCAAATTGAACTGATGCTGTCCCTGTGTAGTCTGTGGAGCAGTGTAGAGGACAGTACAGAGACTGATGTAGAGCAACACAAATCACATGCATGTGTTTGTCTTCATGGTCTCTGTGCTGGTTTGGCCAGACGCCAGACTTTATGAAAGAAAAAAAAACGATGTCTAGAATCACTGTAAAACCTGCTGCTCCTCCTGCTGATGTTTAGACACAAGTGCAGTGTGTGTGTGTGTGTGTGTGTGTGTGTGTGTGTGTGTGTGTGTGTGTGTGTGTGTGTGTGTAGATGCGATCTAAAGCCAAGGGCCGCTAGAAAAATCATGTTAAACATGAGATTTCAATGGAGACGCGTTGCTGCGCGCTGCTGCGCGCTGCTGCGCGCGCAAAATTAGAAATCCATCCTAAATTAGGCGCAGCCTCGCGTCATACGTCCGTCACACGTGCGTATAACGCTAGAAGTGTAAATATCCCCATTGGCTAACATGGAAAAATGTTACGCGTGTCTGCTGCGCGTATATTGTGTACGTGCTGTAACGCCTCCTGTGTAAAGTAGCAGTGAGAGGACGAATACCCATCATTGAGAGTGAGCCCAGAGTAGTAGAATAGTTGTTGTTTGTCCATGTCCTAATAATAAGGCAGTAAGAAAGTATTCATTTTCTGTGTGAGGATGTACAGGGGTGTATGTGATGGGAGTGAAGATGAGAAGATAAAACTTTATTGATCTCACATTGGAGAATTGTACATGTCATGAGAGAGAGAGACAGAAGGACAGAGAGAGAGATTGATAGATATATTTGCTTGCTGCGCTTATGAAGCATTTACATAGTTTCCGAAGCATGTATAAAGCTTTGCAGCTGCTTGTATCATATATGTCATGTTCTCCTTGCTGTTACTCCTGTCCTGCAACATTGACATTTCTCCACTCTGGGGCAAGTCACGGTTCTCTTATCTTATATTTTGGCTCTTTGGAAACACTACAACACCCTTCTCTCCATCTCAGACAATTTGCAAGCAGGTCACCCAGAGCCCAGCCAAACAAAAGGGAAACCTCTGACCAGGACTTTTCATTATAATTTATTCTATCTATTTATAGAGAAAAATATAGTGCATTGGTATTTCAGCGGCCACATTACAGCTTATACCAAGGCCAAGTGTTCGTAAGCAGAATCTGTATGTGGAGCTAAAGCCACTCAAGGTTTCTTAAAATGTGTGTATCTTTAGCTGTGGCCAGAATCAACCAAAAACATTTATCCCACTCATGAGATAAGTGCTATTCGTGACTGGGGCACGTTTGGCTGCGTTGTCAGAATAAGCAGCTTCAGAGCGTCCCTATCACTGGTTCAGCGATAGCTCCTCACCGCCCCCCGAAATAAAGTCACACCAAAACCCTGTGGCTGTCTCTGGGCTCGTCCTGGTCTGCGTCGCTGGACTCTCACATTCTCCTCCTCTGCAGTTTAGCATCCGCAAGATCCAAAACAATAAAGGAAATCTGCGTGTAGTGCAGAGGAAGTACTGGTAGCAGAAGTGTTTTTTTATTCTTATTGTGGAGAAAGGAGGGGTATTGGTGGAAAAAAAGAAAGAAATGAGATGAAGGATGGGTTTTATCCCCCAGGGTCAAGATGTAGGGATTAAAATTGACCAAGTGTTAATCCAAAGTAGATCCGATACATGTTAGAGCCATATGAAGCAATTTGGACTCGGAGGAGCACAGGGACTGGCCTCCTGCTCCTCCCAGAGTCAGGACTAAAAATGGGGAGGCAGTATTTCAGATTTATGCAGCCAAAATCTGTAACATTCTTCCTTAAAACGCGAAACGGGCACAAAAACCTGCACTGGGAGAGAAAAACCTACCTAAAAAACATATTTAGTAAACATAGTATTTAATTATTGTGGTGTTTTTTTTTAAACATTAACATTATTTGACATCAATATAACTAGATTAAGTAAATATCCTAAAAGAAAATTCAATGACTTCTCTAAATCAGTTATAAGATTCTTCAGGACATTTTAACATCACAATATGGCTGCTGGCAACGGATGTGCGTTGCTATGGGTTACCATGGAAACCCATGGTAACCCATAGCCAGGTGATAATCTCACTAGTTATGTCATGTTATGTCATGTTCTAGATTCTTTATAGAATCTGAACAAGATTACAAGTGTCACGCTTGTTGGGGCAGAGAGCTTGTGGGGATAGGAAGACCATAAGGTGTCTACATTTTACCTCCGTCTTTCCCACTCCCTTTGACCAAAACTGGTCCAGGGATTTCATACACTTAGTTAGAAGCTCCAAGAGTTAATATTCTCATCCTCTACACATAGAACTGTTCAGAACGCGAAATGAGACGTGAATACTTGGGTAACGACGGCCCGGACATCATGTCGCGAGCAAGAAGCGCTCCCGAACTCACCACGAGGAAGGTGAGGAGGAGCCTGTGGGAATGGTGGACCGGAAGAACCTCGGAGACAGAGCAGAGCGAGACCGCGAGGCTGAGGGAAGAGCTTGCCCAGGTGAAGTCCGAGCTCTGCGAACAGGTCCAAAACAACAAGTCTTTGCAGCAGAAACTCGAGGAGAGAAAACGTGAGAAAGATCGTCACGCTGCTAGCTTGAAAGACTGCAAGGCCAAGCTCAAAAGAGTCATGGCTGAACTCGCGGAGTCCGAGGAGGCCGTAGCGCGTGCTAAGATAGCGCAGCATCGGCTTTTGAAGCAAATACGGGAACAGGAGATGATTCTGTGTGACGCTCGGGCCGGTTTTCATGAACAGTGGGAAGAGGCGAAGGTGGAACACGAGAAGAAAGTCCAAGAACTTCAACAGCAGCTCGCCGAGAGTAATCAACTTTTGGAGCAGCTGAATAAAGAGAAGGAAGTTAGCCAGAGTGATAAGGAGAAGGCCCACGCTACGCTAGCCAAACTACAGAGATCGTCAAGAGGAAGCAAATACTAGGATTTTAGAATAATACAAATTTACTGCAAATGGCAAATAAACGGAATCTAAATCTGAATTGGAACAAGGGCGCACGCAGAAGTGGACGAGGAGGAGAGACTGAAATGGTATTTTATTTCATGTAATCTCATTTAAACTTGATTCAAGGGGAAGTTTTGGTTTAACTTCCCCCTGGACCTTGCACCCTTTCCCTTTTTTTGCGCGTGCCGTAGGATGTCCCAATACTTGGGGAGAAGAGGCGAGGGCCCTCACACCCTTAAAAACTACCCTTGCTCCAAGTGAGGTCTGGCGCTCACTTGGAGCAAGGGTGATCCCAGATGCATTACGATAGTTGTTGGTAAAGCAGCTGTCGGGCAAAGCCGCGCCACAATAAAAAAAAACAACATGAAACACCCGGGCGAGGAAGCTCCGAAGCGTGTGCGAGTCATTCAGAGTTTTTAATGTGTGCCGTAGACGGTGACGTTCGCTCCTGAAGCGGCTGCAGCGTGTGGCGTTCACTGAGGCTTCAGAGACGTGGATCCATGTTATTATTCATTCATTCATTCATTCATTTTCAACCCCTTTATTAGTCCATTTCTGGGTCGGGGGGGTGGCAATGAGAGCTGCCACCCAACGCTCATAGCACCAGTCCCTCGCTGATCTTCTGCAGGGGGTGAGTCCACAGGAAGATGGCTGCTCCATCAGTTGAGAAACCGCCTTGATCTTTCAGCGGGGGGCTTCAGGCAACGTGGGGTTAAGTGTCTTGCCCAAGGACACAACGACAGCAGTCATCAGTGGGAGCAGTTGGAGTAGGTCCCATGGTGGGAATCGAACTCACGACCTCCAGGCCCAAGGGCCAATGCTCTACCAACTGAGCTACTGTCGCCCCTCCATGTATTTTATACTCCATGTTATTATTATAGTATAAAATAGTAACATGGATCTATAATATCATGGATCTATAATATATTGATCCATGATATTAGATCCATGGAGTTCAGAGCATCGCTTTGACAGTTTTGTGATAAACGGGACCGCGGCTGTACCCGTCTGTGTGGTACGTCTCTGTGCGCGTTTGTGTTTGTACATGTGTCTGTCTTTGTGTGTTTGTACATGTGTCTGTCTTTGTGTGTTTGTACATGTGTCTGTCTTTGTGTGTTTGTACATGTGTGTGTGCGTCTGTCTCCGAGTGCTTGATGTGCAGCAGCTTTGTACCTAATTATAGCAAATCTTCATATGAAATAGAATTTAAAATGTCTATCCATTTTCCATTTTCTACCCTTTAATCCATTTCTGGGTCAGGGGGGTGGCAGTCAGAGATGCCACCCAAGTCTCATAGCACCAGCCCCTCACTGACCCTCTGCAGGTGGTGAGTCCACAGGAGGACGGCTGCTCTCTGAGTGTGAGCATAGCCTTGATCTTTCAGCGGGGGCTTTTGGGCAAAGTGGGGTTAAGTGTCTTGCCCAAGGACACAACGACAGCAGTCATCAGTGGGAGTCGGTGGAGAAAGTGCAGAGGTGGGAATTGAACCCACGACCTTCTGGGCTTAAGGCCAATGCTCTACCAACTGAGCTACTGTCGCCCTTAAAATGTCTAATTTTAATAAATACTTTATTTCATAAAGTCATATCAGTGTCAGATCTTATCTGTGGTGAAATCAGACACATTGATAATGTGTGTGACGTGGAACATGTTTGCCGCTAAAATCAGAATCAGAATATTTTTTATTGCCATGTGAGTCACAGGAAGTCACAAACTAGGAAAATGCTTTGGCTCTCGGTGCAAACAAGTTAAAGCAGATTAAAATCAAAGGCATGCATAAATAAAAATCTATATACAGTGGACTCGGTGCACACAATAGACCCTTAAGAGTGCAGTAAAAAGACGGTCATAAGGTCGGAGGTCAGTGATGGTTTATGAAGAGTCCAACAGCAGAGGGGAAGAAACTATTCTTATGGCGGGAAGTTCTAGTCCTGATGGACCGTAGTCTCCTGCCTGAGGGGAGTGGTTGGAACAGTCCATGTGCAGGTGAGAGGGGAGTGGTTGGAATAGTCCATGTGCAGGTGAGAGGGGAGTGGTTGGAATAGTCCATGTGCAGGTGAGAGGGGAGTGGTTGGAATAGTCCATGTGCAGGTGAGAGGGGAGTGGTTGGAATAGTCCATGTGCAGGTGAGAGGGGAGTGGTTGGAACAGTCCATGTGCAGGTGAGAGGAGAGTGGTTGGAATAGTCCATGTGCAGGGGGACAGGGGTCGGCTGTGATACGACCAGCCCGGCCTCGAGCTCGGGCGACGTACAGGTCCTGCAGCGATGGAAGGCTGCAGCCGATCACTTCCTCTGCAGAGCGCACAATGCGCTGTAGTCTCTGTTTGTCCCTGACTGTGGCTCCAGCGAACCACACGGTGATGGAGGAGGTGATGGAGGAGGTGATGGAGGAGGTGAGGATGGACTCGATGATGGCCGTGTAGAACTGCACCAACATCTGTGCAGCAGCTTGGCTTTCCTGAGCTGCCACAGGAAGTACATCCTCTGCTGGGCCTTAGATTAAATGTAAACCTAATGTTCATTTGAAATACATCATAGGGGCTGGTGCTATGTGTACTGAGTGGCATCTCTGACTACGCGTGGACTGACAGAGTTCTGCTGTCACTATAGTGTTAGCTTTAATGCAGAAGAAGCCAACTAGAACATCAGCTAGCATGATTCAATTTCTTTATATGGGCGTTTGTTCCGATGGCGTTGGCTTTGCGCCATAACAGGGGCAGACGTGTAGCTAAGACGGTTGCTGAGGCAAGCTGGACTTTTCCACCGATAATGAGTGAATTTGATTGGTCAAAATATATTATTATAAAAGAGCACTACTCAAACAGTGACTGAGTTGGAGGAGTTTACTTTTTAATGCAAGTCAATAGGAACCAGAGAAATACTTTGTCCATGAGCACTTCTCCATTAGGCTTCATTAAGCTAGTGGGTTAGCATCGTCAATCTGTACACAGTCTATGATTTCAAGCCTGCACATACAATTTCACAGGTAGACAGATATAAAAAAAAAAAAAAAATAGTCTTTGAAGAATAAAAGTTTCCTCCATCAACTCTTCCCTGTCCCTGCTGAAGAAAAGCAGCCCCAGGTTTAGCAGAGGGCATGGTGTGAGAAGAGGGAGAAGCAGTTGTAGTTTCACACACGTAGCATTTAGGCCAAAAGTTCAATTTTGGCCTCACCGGACCACAGCGGCGTCCTCCACATGTTGGATGTGGCTCAGGCTTGGCTTCTGGCAACTTTATTTTAGGACTGACTTTTTATTTGCCGCTCGTCCATAAAGACCAGAGCGTTTGTGTAGAGCATGACTAAGAGTTGCCCCATGAACAGATTCAGGTGAGCAGTGGGTGTCTAACTCCTCCAGAGAGCCAAGATTCTGCCGACAAACCTCAGAGACATCACAGAACTACTATAATTATACTGAGAGTCAATATAATAATGCGTTTCCCTGGTTTTCTGTCATGTAAAAACAGACATATATCAATGTTTGACCGGTCATACATGATTAGGACACATCTAAAGCCGTTTGGTTGCATTAAGAGAAGAGGGGGCTGAATACTTTTGCAGTTTTATTGAAATCCAATCAAATATCATTATGGTTGCGTTCTTAATTCAATTCAAGACATTTTTTTCAGCCTTAAATCACATCAGCCGGTGTCCGAGGATCTATTTTTTCAGTTTTATCCCACCAGTGATTTTATACTTTATTCTTGCTTCTTCATTATGCTAATTTTAGATTTTAGACTTGCTTCTTTATAATGCTAAAGCGAGAGATTGTATTTAATTAATGTAAAGTTCATTCATCCTGTGCTGTGATCCATTCCTACTGTTCTAAAATCACAACAGCCGTCGTCTCGGAGGATCTATTTGAGAGATTTTATACTTAATTCTTGCTTCTTCATTAAATTGACTGCAGCCGTTTTTGATGATTTCACCGACTTTCAAGATCCACAGAATATTGTGTGATATGACTATGTGAAATGTGAAACCAGATTCTGAAAGACTGAACTGTCTACTTTTATCAGCAAAAATAAGTTGGTTTCTAGCTATTTTTGCTAAAGCTAGAGATTGTAACTGGTGATGCAACACTGGCATTTCTGCACTTACAATCAAAAATGAGACAATGTGAATAACGGTGTATGAATACTTTAAGTGTATTGTAGACATAACTGTTCTATAGAAAACGTCACTCATCCCCAACATGTACTAATATATAATATCTATGTATATATGGTATAATTATATAAGTTTAAGTGTAAACGATGATGTAAGTGTGTAGTTAAGTCTTTGTTAGTGTCGGGGACCTCGAGTCTCTGCTGCGGTGAAGCTTTTTATAGAGACTTTGTTTGAAACAGTGAGTAATGCCCCGACATGAAAGTCTGAGGTTCTGCTGCGCTGGCAACGGGGGGCAAGGGGGGAAACGGGGGCAACAGGGGGCAAGGGGGGCAAGCGGGGAAACGGGGGCAACAGGGGGCAAGGGGGGCAACAGGGGGCAAGGGGGGCAACAGGGGGCAAGGAGGGCAACAGGGGCAACAGGGGGCAAGGGGGGGAAACGGGGGGCAAGGAGGGCTACGGGGGGGCAAGGGGGGAAACGGGGTAGGGATGGGCATCGATTTTCGAATATTCGAATAGTCGTTAAATCATAAAAAAATCGAATAGTGTACCATATCTGGAGGGGGGAAAAATGGTATTACTGGCGGCTTCCGCACGGGGGCAGCGTACCATTTGACGATACACAGTGGCGGGCTACATGCCAAGTCGTAGAAAATTAACAAACTGGAGAAGACACGATGGAGAAATTACTGCAGCAGTCGTCAAAAAGTTCCATGTGGCGCTATTTCCAAAAAACACCTGAAACAGAGGTACAATGTAAACTCTGCGAAGCAAAGCTTGCGTATCACAAGTCTACGACAACCATGCACTCTCATATGAGAGCAAAGCACCCGTGTGAAAGCGGCGGGCCGTCGTCACAGCAACAGTCAATTGC